AATGTGGTTAATACCGGACGAAAACTTAAACTTCAAGACGGAAGTTCTTCGTTTTATATAGACCGATTCAGAACTTATGGGATAAACTTTTAGGGGTGGTAGAACACACGACAAAAAATCATTTTTGTATAAGTATGGGCGTAAGTGACGCGTTGAGGTACAAACACAAGAAGTAACGCATTAAAGGAAACATAAGTTGTTTACTTACAGCATCGTTGACAATTACGTCAAACTTCTATATCTGAAGGCTCTCGTTTACGAGAATCCAGTTGACTCTGTTGAGGCCCTCCTCGCTCGAATAGCCGTTGCGACTGCTATTGCGTGTGCGAGAAATACTTGGCATCTTTGAAACTGTACACAGATCACTCCAAAAGTTAACTCTGCCAAGCTTGCATTACTGTTGGTGGGCACAATTTTGAGCAATTATTGTAAACATTGATGTAAAGACGCTCTTGTCAACGAAGCTGTAAGTAAACAATTTGTTTCCTTTCATGTGTTCTTGTGTTTGTGCCTCAACGCGTGCGTCACTTGCGCCCATACTTTCCTATACTAAAAATGTTTTTTTCATTTGCTACTTGATGACAAAAAACATTCCTATTACACCTGGAAAACTATTTGCACCTTTAGCGATGAGAAATTTTTAGTGATTTCTTTTGCTTCATTATTATTATTTGGCCTTATGTAGCAGGCTGCACATCTCGTACAAACGTAACAAATTCTCTGTATGCATGCTCTTTGTATATGTTACCGGCAAAGTATGAAAAGCCGGCATTCTATAGAATACCTAGGCATTGTATATAATGCCTGGCGTTTTTAGGCAATCTATGAAATATGAGAATTATTACATACTTTCCCTAGGCATTGTATATAATACCTAGGCATTCTATAGAATGACAAATGCTATTTAGGCAAAGTATGAAAAAAGGTTCTGATAAGGCTATTATATAAATGACGTGCATTCTTCAAAAATACAAATGTTATTCTGAAAAAATAATGAGAGTGCCATTAAAAAAATTTATTCAAAATACGTAAAGAAAAATGAAAGTTGTACAAAACAAAATTTATGCCTTTCTNATTGGTTCGGTTAAGCTTTTGTTTAAGTAATATTCCGGCTCTTTCGTCAGGGTTTTGTTTATGTCCCCAATTCCCTAATCGCTTAATTATTTAACTACTTCTTAAGTAGAAATAAGTCGAAACCGGTTACTTTGTACTCGAATATTTGTAGTCTCGGGAAAAAGTGGAAAGACAAATTTTTATGACAAACGGATACATAAATCGTAAATTTAAGGAAAATAAATTCTAGAGCTTTTTCTGTAGGTTGGTGTAGTATAGAAATTTGTAATAAGATACATAATGCGGTTATAATAAAATATTAATTTTAGTTAATTCAAAGTACGTTAAAATATGAAAATAATCGCGCGATATGTCTTTATATTTTAAAAAATACAAGCCACTGGTATATTATTACAGTACGTGATACGCATTCTCGTTTATAGAGCCATACTTTCACTTCTCGAGGTCAGAGGCGCTAAGTTTTTTCGAGCCTTCTTTAAAAATACCGCAGTCCGAAAAAAACTTATGTAAATAAATATAAATAAAAGAAATTATTACTTTTACAAATATATGTTTATTTTATATTTTATAATTAATTCTTTAATAACGAAATAAAAACAAAAGCCTCACACAAATCAGAAACTTGGATGCCTAAATAAAAATATATTATCTCAGAAAGGGATGATAAATCCCAGTATAAAATATCCCACTATTTAATATCTAAACGTATACCAATAACCAATAACTATACCAAAAAACCAATAACTATAAACTTTGATAAGAGAATAGGTTTATACCTGTGCTGTAGTTGTGCCAGGACGTTTCAGAGAGGCACCCTAATATTTATTTTTAAAGCAGGGTGAAGCACTTTACCTATACGAAACTTCATAGAAGATAGCGCCTGAAATTCAAACAGTGGCGATTCAAACTCGGAGCGCCAATTATCACTCTGGAACGTTTTAACTTACGACTACGTCCCTGATTTGTAATCAATTATAATACATGATAATGAACGTTTATAGTAATAACTGATACTATTCAATTATATAACTTCTGTCATGTTCTATTGTCCAATATTTATTTTGTAGCAAACTTTCGGTGTTATGTTATTTCCACGTCATAACATCTTGAAAAGATTAATTTATTTTAAAGGTCAAGTACGATTTCACAACTAGTGAGGCTCGTGAAGCATTACCGTGTTAAACTAACAAAACCTTTATGAATAATATTATGTCAGAAATTTGACTGACTGAGGCTCTAAATCGAAAGTATTTGAACTCATGTTTTGAATTTATTAATGTTATAAATTTGGATGGAAATATATTTAGTGCGTATTGTTATATCGTGCAATACAGTAAATAAGAGGAAATAAGAAAAAGGATTGAATTGGGAATTTATATGGACTACAACTCATTACTTTCAAAATTTTATATTTTGATTGTTTTCTATTGCAGGTATGATGTATTCTTTTTTTATTCACAGACTTGCGAGAATGCTTCTCTTATTATTTTTTTTAAATTTAATATCAGTTGTTTCTAGTAATGTAACGAATATTCGGTTACTATTCGGTATTCGGCCTATTCGGCCTATTTTTCACTATTCGGCCGAATACAGAATATTTAATCACTATTCGGCCGAATACCGAATACCTAAAAGCAAGAGTAATAAATAACAAAAACACAGTAAATTAATCATTTTGTTATTTAGATTTAATGTTATCGAGTTAGTGTTGTTTGTTTATATTTATTTATAACTTGTAACATGCATAAAATAAAAAAGAAAATAATATTAGTCACATGTATTCACAATTTATAATTACAAAGATCAGCACACGTACTGTACACCGTGGAGAATCCTCGCACATCTGAGGGTCTGACCCTGCTTATCCCTCTTTTTAAGCGCTCGTCTTTGCTCTTTCTTTCTCCTCCATCTCTCTAGTCCACGTATGCCTATGCATACATCATAATACACGCTCACGATACTTTCGATTCGTCACTTTTCCGTCGTAGTTTTTCCATTTTATAATTACGTGACTCATAGCCTGGTGATAACGGAGAAAAGAGACAGATAGGACGTCGATATAAGTCGCAGTTATGATTTCACAGATTCGAGACAGCTTGATAGCCCAAACGGCTCCAGGCTTTCGCCCGTGCACGCTAAGTGACTTTCAATACAAGCATTTAGCTTTCCGAAGTCTATGACAACAATTGTTTGGCATTGACGGCCGCGAATTTCGTGCCAATAAGCTGCCTCGACTTGTTCGATTATGTTATCAACTCAATTTCTTATCTATTTTCACATTTTCACGGTCCTTCTCTGTTCTTTTTCCGTTATTTACACGTGTAAGTCATTTCATTGTTATCCACATTTGATATCATCATTTATCACATACTTCCATGACACTCTTGTCTGTCCGCTACAACTGCCAAGAATTAACGCTATTGGCGAAGCGTAGTGACAGCGGGCCAATAGAGAGCGGGATCCTTGCCATAATGCGATTTGCGCGCCAATTTTCGTACGTGCGTTAATCAAGCCGAATAGTTTGGCCGAATATTCGGCTATTCGACCACGCTCCTGGCCGAATATTTGGTATTCGGCCTGAGGCCGAATATACTATTCGTTACAACACTAGTTATTTCCTTTTATTAATTCAAAACGGTTATAAATACACTAGTGTGTTCTCAATTGACTTTACGACAGAATATACGAGTATAATGTTTTCTAATTAGCCTAATCATATTTTTAATTTATTGTTTTTATAATTGTAAAAGTTTTTCTGTATACATTCTGTATTTTATGGAATGTGCTGTACTGTAAAATATCTGTGTTTTACTATAAATCAAATCGGATAAACTTTATTTACTAGAATCTATTAAAATTTCTAATAATAAAATGTTTTTCACGAAAATTTCTATATAATAACCGGATATTTTAGGGAATTATATTCATCATGAGATGTTTATCCTGAAAACAGAATATGAAAAAAACCAATAACGAGTTGCTTAACTTTACCGGTAACATTTAGTGGTGCCATCTGTTATGATAATTTATTTTAAAACTTTTTATATTTTAAACTATTATAAAATGGCTAAAAGTTTAATTTTCAAGGTAAAGTGTGTGTTTTATAAAATATTGTTAATGCTAATAACGAGTAAAATTGTCATTAAATTTGACCCTACTGGAAATAAATACGACCTCTTTGTTTTCCCACTCCCTTGAACTTTAATCACTAAAATTTAATAGCATCAATCCATCTAATAAACATACCTCCCTGCAAAATTTCTGAAATTTTCTTCAAAAAGTACAGGAGTTATTAAACTTCAAACACGATAAACATGGCCGTAACTCTGCTGATTACATCTTATTATCTCACGTTAACTAATCAATGTTTTAAAATAACAAAAATGACTAACCTATATCCTTTCGATAACGCAACGAATTGTGACTAATCAGCGAGCCACTAATATAATGGTTTCTGGTTAAATAACCGAGAGAATTTTTTTTATTCTTAATTATATTGGTTCCTTCTCCGCTACAAATTGAAAGTCAATACAATTTAAAAATCTTTTACACCAATATTAACTTTAATTACGTTATTTCCTTCCAAAGATTTGACTACACAGATTATTTTTTTTCTAAGGATGTTAAGAAAATTTTCTGTAGAATGTTCCTTGTCGGAAGAATGATAAGGTTAGTAAGCCTCTTATTTAAAATATCATTGTAATATATAGATATTAAAACGTAAAATATTAATATTTTAAGAAATATATAACAATACAGTATGTATACAGAAAAATTTCTTTATTATAATCACGAATATTTATTATCAAAGATGGACGAATATCACGTTTCTCTTATTCTAATTAAGCTTATTAAATTGCAGTTGTATCGAGAGATGCTGTTATATAATCTGATATAACTAATCTTAATTTATTTTATATTTTCAGATGAATATGCTTATAATAGTGTGGATTTTAACTATTACATTACATTCAAATTATGCTTGGGATATAGAGAGCGATACTTGTGATGAATTAAGTATAATTGATTTAGTACCTCTGTTTGATTGCAATTTTACATTGAATGATCGAAATTATCTTCAAGTATCTTGTGGTATGTTTACTTACGTAGAAAAAAAGACATCAAAAACCAGTTTTGTAAGAAGTGCAGTAGAATTAACATTTGGATTAGAAAGCGATCAACCATTAAATCATACGATGAGAAGGGTTTGTTTAAGATTGGCAAATTTAACAATAAATAAATTTCCAGAATCACCAAACAAAAAAGTAAATTACAATACAAAATTTTCTTTATTCGACGTCATGGAAAATGTACTGAATGATATAAAAGAAATAAGAATATTTATAAATTTTATTCAACGTAGAATAATTTCGGTTGGTGATATAATAGGAAAATGCAATCCCAAATTTACAAATCTTCAGTCAGTTAAGTCATTAATGTATACTTTTAAACGTAATAATTGCTACTTATTAATTTATGGTATTATAAAAATGCTTTTTTCTGATGATTGGTTTCCAAAACGCCAAGCTTCAAATGATGAAATATTCGACATTATTGATAAAGAAAGTAAAATCCTTCTTCTCGATAAAGCAGAAATCACAGATGTGTTTATGAGATTTAATAATAGAATGAATGTAGCGCAATTATTTAAGTTTGGTTCAAAACTTAATGTCATTAATTTAGCATTAATTGAAAGTAATATTCAAAGCATTGAAAATAATACAATAGCATTTACTATGCCTAAATTGGAATTATTAAACATGACTGGAAGCAAAATTAATTTTATTGATGTCGATGCATTAGACAATCTTCCAGCTTTAAGAGTTGCAGATTTTAGTAAATGTAAATTACAAACTATCCCAAAACCATTTTATAAATCACGATTTGTTAATTTGACATATTTAAATTTAGAAGAAAATGTACCCATTGATGGTAATTTTATCTTGTCTTCTATGCCATCATATTCATCCAACCTAAAAATACTTATACTCTCCAAAATATCTATAACTCATTTAAGTGAAGAATCATTTGATGCTTTCATTCATTTGCAATTTCTTTATCTAGATAGATGCAAACTCAGTTCTCTACCCGATAGAATATTTGCCAATTTAACTTCTCTTATATTTCTTGATTTATCTGGCAATTATTTAGAAAACCTTTCTGATGACCTTTTCTTCTCTTTGCAGTCTCTTCGGTATCTTAATTTAAGTAGAAATCGTTTACAATATATACCCGAACGAACTATTAATTTGGCAAATAATCTTATTACTTTAAATCTTGAAGACAATATTATAAATTCTTTGTCAAACTTTTCTCATTCCAATCTTAAATATTTAAATTTGAGAAAAAATCGAATTAATAATGTTATTGGTGATATAAACTCTTTAAATTTCTCTTCCTTGCACAGTCTTGATTTATCATCTAATACTCTGAGTTACATCTCTAAAGAAATGATTGATAATTTTCTAAACATTGAATTTGTTAATTTATCATCTAATCCATTTAACTGTTCACCTTGCAATCTTTACTATCTGCAGATGTGGTTGAAAGCTATCGATTATAGAGATTCAGATCTTTTTATTTGTTCTATTCCTGCAGAACAATATCGAAAGAAAGTGATTAGCATTAATTCTAAGTATGAAGATTGTTTAGACTCAAATGTTAATGTAATTACTAACATTGTGATTTCTATAATTTGTGTTTTATGTATTATGACATTAATTGTGTTCTTTATTTATTACCATCGTTGGTACATTCGTTACTTACTATTTCGTGTAAGGTCAGCTATTTGGAACTATAAGCAACAACGTGAAGCTTCTTGTCAGTACAAATACGATGCCTTTGTATCGTATTCTGATGCAGAAACGAAATGGGTAGCGAATGAATTGGTACCTAAAATGGAATCTGAAGAATCTGGATTAAAATTGTGCATGCACCAACGTGATTTTGTTGCTGGAAAAGATATCGTTCAAAATATTACTGAGAAAATAGAAGAGAGTCGTAAAGTAGTAATTCTTTTATCGAACAATTTCCTGAAGAGCGATTGGTGTATGATGGAATTGTATTTGGCTCACGATAAGTTATTCGACGAAAATAGAGATGCGTTAATTTTAGTCAAAATTGAAGAATTAAAGAAGATTTTAATTCCTCGTAGACTTCAATATTATTTAAAGACAAGAACTTATTTGTTATGGCCAACTGAAGAAAATGCTCGATTATTATTCTGGAACCGGTTGACGGATGCTATCAAAAAACATAGCAATGAGAATAAAAAATTCATGAAAAACATTATATAAAATCAGATAATGTCTGTGTATAATGTTATTTTAAGTGNGTGCAACTGACAAATTCTAAGCCTGAGCCGCTCGTTAAAAGTGACGTGCCTTGCCACGTGATATTTGAAACGAAACGGAGATGTATTTCATACTTTGCCAGTTTCTCATTTGGCATTCTATAGAATGCCTAGGAAATCTATAAAATATAAATCGTTTCATAGATTGCCGGCTAGGCATTATATACAATGCCTAGGCATTCTATAGAATGCCGGATTTCAAACTTTGCCGGTAACATATACACCAAATTCCTCTGAAAGACTCTTGATTTGCTACTGTCCAAAGGGACATCAAAACTAGTGTCTCTACTTGTCCATCGAAGTGATGATGGCCCAGTTTTTTCTCCAGTGGTCTAGATAATAGCTCAAGATAAAGCTGAATTAAATAAATTCGAAAAGTAATATCAAATATAAATAAAAATAATACGAATGAGATTAAAAATTACAGCACAATTGGTAAAGAAAGATCTTTTGCTAATAAAATCTTGTGCCAATGTTCTACAAGTATAATTATCATCACAATAAACGCAGTGAAGACATATTAAAATGAAATTTTTCACATTACTTAAATTAATTAACTTTCTAAACTTTTTTAAAGCAATTATAAATTTATATGTGTAATAAATTTACAAATCAATAGTTGACTACTATTATTAATTTTTATTTATTAAGTATTATTATTATTATCATTATAAAGAATTATTATTAAAGTTTATACTTAATACAAAATATTCATTTTCTAATCAGGACAAATTTTATAATTAAATATTATTTTTCAGAACAATATGTTAATCATTACTTTGCTCCTGGTTGTGACAATTTGCCCAACTAATTCTTGGGATGTAACCAACGATACCTGCGAGGATGTAAAAATTCATAAATTAATATTTATGCCAGATTGCAAACTTTCTATGAATAGCCAAAAGCTTCAAGCAAGTTGTGACATGTATTGTTATATAGAAAGTTTCTCACCTTACGTTGGGCTTAAACGATACGCAATTGAAATGACAATAGGAATGGAAAGCGATAATTTTATTTATAGTTTCGACGAAAGAATTTGTTTACGGCTTGCAAACCTGACGATAAGGAAATTTCGACTTTCTCCACATCAAAAGAATAATTACGGTTTAAGATTCACACTGATGTCTCCATTATCATCCACATTGGCGAGTATCATAAAAGGCAAAGCTCATATCAATTTTAATAAACGTTCCATGGTTGGAATCGCTGCAACTCGAGATAAATGCAATGTGACTTCACCAAATTTTGACTTTATGGCCATTGATGAACATCGAAACGCATCGTGTAAATTAACTATTCTAGGTATTTATGAAATGCTGGTCACCGTACCAAGGATTAAAAAGTTTCCTCAATCAAAACAAGAAATAATAATGGTCTATAAACAGTTTGATCAGATTTATTTCCTTCACGAAGCAACAATTTCAGAATTCTCTTTATATTTAACGCAAGATATTAATTCAGTGAAAATGTTTTCTATAGTTCCAAATGTTAATTTCCTTAAATTAGAACTTCCAGAAAATCATTTCGATATCATTCGAAATGACGATTTTTCATTTACTCCTACGATGGAAGTATTAAACATGACGAGAAGTACAATATATTTAATAGAGGAAAACGCCTTTGACAACCTTCCAGGTTTAAGGATTGTGGATTTTAGCAGAAATCGATTACAGTCAATTCCCGAACCTTTTTATAAATCACAATTCGTTAATCTGACGTATTTGAATTTAGAAGCTAATAAACCTTTAAACAAAATGTTTTCTTTGCCAGCGCGATCCGACTCGGCCCAGTCTAACCTTAAGATACTCATACTTTCGAAAACGTCTATAACACACTTGGAAAGAGGATCCTTCGCATCTTTTTCTCATCTGCGTTATCTTTATCTTAGTGAATGCCATCTCGCATCCATACCCGAAGGCACGTTTCTTAACTTGACTTCTCTCGTATCGCTCGATTTATCACGAAATCGTTTAGAAATGATTGCAGACGATATCTTTGTAGATCTTTATTCTCTTCAATATCTAAATTTGAGTAGTAATCGTTTCTATTTCGTTCCGCAATCTTCTATTAATTTTGTTTCCAATCTAACGTTTTTGAATCTGGAAAGCAATGCCGTAAAATATCTATCTAATTTTTCGCATTTCAATCTACGATATTTAAACGTGAGAAACAATCGTATCAAAGAGTTTACTAATGAGTCAATCGATTTGCCATTGTTAAAAAATCTCGATATTTCTTCCAATCTCATAAGTAATTTTTCTAAAGAATTTTTAGAAATTTTACAAATCATTAAATTTGTTAATTTATCATCGAATCCGTTCAATTGCTCTCCGTGCAATCTTTACTATTTGCACGTGTGGTTAAATGCCACCGATTATAGAGATTCTGACAATTTTATTTGCTTTCTTCCGGAGAAAGTTTCGAATGAAAAAGTAATAAATCTTCCATCGAGATATGAAGATTGTTTACGTTTAGTCACCGATGAAACAATAACAATTGTAATATCTTCGTGCAGTACGATCTTCGTTATCTTATTAATTGCATCGATGATATATTATTATCGCTGGAGTATTCGTTATTTGCTGTTTCATTTACGATCGAAAATTTGGTATTTTAAACAAGAAAAACTAGCTTGTCGTCAATACAAGTACGATGCTTTTATATCGTTTTGCGACGAGGAAACGGAATGGGTAGCCAATGAATTAGTTCCTAAATTAGAATCTGAAGAATCGGGATTAAAACTGTGCATCCGACTTCGCGATTTTATCCTCGGAGAGGAAATCCATCAAAATATTATCGATAAAATAGAAGAGAGTCGTAAAGTTGTGATTCTATTATCGGACAATTTTCTGAAGGACAATTGGCGTATGACGGAACTATACTTGGCTCACGACAAGTTATTCGAAGAAAATAGAGATGCTTTAATTTTAGTTAAAATGGAAGAATTACAAAAAGTGTTAATACCTCGAAAACTTCGTTATTTGTTAAAAACAAGGACTTATTTGTTAAGGGCAACTGAAGAAGATGCTCAGTTATTATTCTGGAGTAGATTGAAAGAAGCCATTACGAAATACAATAATCCGAATAAAATGAAAGAACTTGTTTAAAACTTTAAATGTAATTTACGTTTATGCTCTTTATAATTTTCGAGGGTATATTTAATGACTTAGATAAAAATATTTGTAATATTTAAAATGTGTTGATTTATTATACACTTTATAACTCGTTTCTTTATATGTTTTTATTAATATGTTCATCAGAAAAATGGCAATGTTAGCGGCTATAATTGCAACGTGTTCTTGAAACGATTGTGCTGTTTTGACTGACGTAAATAAATATTAAAGAACTTGCATTAATCTTTTAAAATTAACTGCAGTTAGGTGAACATAATTTTTAAATGCTTCTCTTGTAAAATTAACTTTTTTTTTTTTTTTTTTAATTTTGTCACTATCAAAGTAAAACAGCAATATGAACATTGTCGAATTATGAAGATTGTTGAATTATTAGAAGGAAAGGGAATTCAATGATTTAATCATTATGAAAGAAAATGTTTGTCTGCTTGCATGATATTAGTATTGTACATTGTATTAATAAAAAATATACATGGACTATATGTTACAGTATTTAGATTTCTCAAATTAACTGTTAATCTTTTATAATGTTCAATTGTCTTTTGCTATATTGTGTGCCGAGCGCTCTACCGGTAATTAATGTTGCAAAGTCAGAGGATTCCCATTAAATTTAATGGAAATGCGACTGTAGGAAAATTTATTTGAGTGGTATAGTATTTTCGGAGGAGAATTTCTTTTTTATTTATCAATATTTATACAGTATTGACCTTTGAGCCGCCTAAAATGACGAACTTAACAATCTTTAATATCGTACCACGTTTAGTAATAACGTGTTTAGATTTAGTGGGAACTGAAGTTTGAAGTTGTGGGAAGCTTATCTAAGACTCGGTAACAGTGCCGTCAATACCCAAAAGCTGTTTAGTATCACGTTTCTGAACGTTTCGAAATGCAACCGGCTGTATTACAGAGATTGTACTATACATTAATTATAGGACCATCGAGAGGGTGAACTGGGAGTCTTCTTCCGGCTCAGAGAAAACTTAGAAAACCGTGATATCTGCCTCTATAAATTAATATTACTTTTACTAACAAAAAATAAAATCTTTAAACTGCTTTTTATTAGCAAACATTCTGCAAACTTCTATTCCGTTTGTTCAAAAAAAGACACGGCAGAAGGGCTTGCACTACCTCCAGGACCCATACAAGCTTTCGGCCCCATACAGCCTTGATTAAATAGTTCTTTTTCAGTTACTTCTTGAAATGAAAAACCATTATTGCATTTGAGCTATCAAAAATTTTACTAGCAATAAATAAAGAAACGAGTTATTTCATCTAGATTTATGGACTGATCGAATATCTGAAGAATTTCTACGAGAATGCGATGTAAAATGTTGTTCCTCGTCAACAAATATTTTAATTCTGCATAAGTATATTTAAAATTTATGTATATTATAGTGACGTGCCTTGACATTTGATGATAGGGAAGCTGAGTTTCTGTAAGAAGCCGACTTACAGGGGCAATCAGTTAATTGCACGTCAGGGTTTATTCGTATTCGTTTGTTCGATAAGCCAGTAAAAACCGTACACCTCTTTAAACGTATTTTTAATAGATTATCTGACGTACTTAATTAATAAATAAGCAAATTCAATATAATTACCTCCGTTATTAGATTCAATAGATTCCCTATGCCCTCTAAATACCGATTCTAGAAACGGAAAGAGTTAGAAATATTCCGCTATCTCACTACGTCCCTCTAAAAGTCGCCGCAGTTGGGAACACTGGTGAGCAGACATCTAGGGTCTAAGTATGGCGAAATGTAATCTCCAAACCGCGTTGTAGAAAGGCAAAAAAATTTTAAATTTAAAAATATAATTTCTTGTGAACAGCAGTTTGGGCTCCCCCTTCCAAGTGGGCCCTGTGCGGGTGCACCTGTTGCACCTGCGTAGTTACGGCTCTGTCCACGATATAAGGGCTAAAATTTAAAATAAAATTATAAAAACTTATTTGGTAAAATAAAATGTGTGGTGGATATATATATACCTGGTACAAAATATTCTTCAATTGTATTAATATACTGTGACAATGCGCGAAGCACCCCGTATGCTTCGGTATCACACGACCGAAGGGTCGATATCGCGTCGGCGAAGACTGCAATGACTAATTCTTCAGGACTGATACCACTGTATCTTCTGGGTAGACACAGAGACAGTTACGTTCGCATTTACTCTCAGCAGTCGCGTCTATGGACGGTTGGACTCGGGATGGAGACCAATTTGGCTAAAGAAGTGCAATTTACAATTCGATTATAGAAAATAATACCCGTTTATTGATTATATAAACTAGTTACACATGCTTTAAGAGAGAGAGAGAGAGAGTTTACAAACGTTCGCGCGTGGTATTTATCTGAAGATCGCTCTCTTGATTTGGGTCCTTTTTCGGTGGAGACGCGTCCTTGGTGGGTACTTGGGGTCATCGGCTATCGGCGGTTAAGCTTCTGATCGCTGGCCATTGAAGGAGAATCGGCGGTGAAGTGTATTCGAGTGTACACACACGAACTCCCTTCGAAGACGGACGAACTCCCTGTCGCGTCAGCGGACCTTCTCCTTTATTTGGGGTCTTTCCCTCACAACTCTTGTTTTTTTTTTTTTTTTTGGTAAAATCGTCCTTGACGTCCAATGGCGATTTTTGCATTTGATTCCTAATGACACATTTGATGTGTCACCCCGAAATAAGGAAGAAAGTCCGTAGGAAAGAATATAATCATATCCGTAGCGATCTTCTTTTTTTTCGAAAAATTTTTTGAATAAAATTTTCCTGTGAGGTCCGGCCTCTCACAATACTTTTAAAGAAAATTATAATTAAATATAAGTTTGTAAAGAAACGTACATAAAATTAACAAAATATTCTTTACTTTTTAAATCTTAAAACAATGCACTTAGTCAAATAACTCCCTACGAGTGGCTAATGGATGGAATCGAAGACGGTTGCAGAACGTGCATATACGCGGGCTGACAAATCCCGAGGGTGACGATACCGGTCAATGTCAAATACCTATTTTGTCGCATCACTAGTATATCTCAAAGGACACGACAGGGCTGTTGTAGATTTTAAACGTTTCTCACCATAGCTGTAAAAATATAAATATGTTAAACTTAATAATCATTTGTTTTCTAACTAATTCGTTTTAGGACCAGGTGTCGTCCACGGAAATTTCCAAAATTTATAACTTTTCGGTCACTCTCGTTGAACTGGAAAAATTTCTGTTTATATTACGTCTAATATTACGAAGAAATCGGTCCCCACTGTACTCGGCTAGAGATTGGGTCGGTTAAGCTTTTAAGTAATATTCCGGCTCTTTCAGCAGTGTTTTATTTATGTCCCTAATTCCCTAATCTCTTAATTATTTAACTACTTCTTAAGTAGAAATAAGTCGAAACATGTTACTTTGTACTCGAATATTTGTAGTCTCGGGAAAAAGTGGAAAGACAAATTTTTATGACAAACGGATACATAAATCGTAAATTTAAGGAAAATAAATTCTAGAGCTTTTTCTGTAGGTTGGTGTAGTATAGAAATTTGTAATAAGATACATAATGCGGTTATAATAAAATATTAATTTTAGTTAATTCAAAGTACGTTAAAATATGAAAATAATCGCGCGATATGTCTTTATATTTTAAAAAATACAAGCCACTGGTATATTATTACAGTACGTGATACGCATTCTCGTTTATAGAGCCATACTTTCACTTCTCGAGGTCAGAGGCGCTAAGTTTTTTCGAGCCTTCTTTAAAAATACCGCAGTCCGAAAAAAACTTATGTAAATAAATATAAATAAAAGAAATTATTACTTTTACAAATATATGTTTATTTTATATTTTATAATTAATTCTTTAATAACGAAATAAAAACAAAAGCCTCACACAAATCAGAAACTTGGATGCCTAAATAAAAATATATTATCTCAGAAAGGGATGATAAATCCCAGTATAAAATATCCCACTATTTAATATCTAAACGTATACCAATAACCAATAACTATACCAAAAAACCAATAACTATAAACTTTGATAAGAGAATAGGTTTATACCTGTGCTGTAGTTGTGCCAGGACGTTTCAGAGAGGCACCCTAATATTTATTTTTAAAGCAGGGTGAAGCACTTTACCTATACGAAACTTCATAGAAGATAGCGCCTGAAATTCAAACAGTGGCGATTCAAACTCGGAGCGCCAATTATCACTCTGGAACGTTTTAACTTACGACTACGTCCCTGATTTGTAATCAATTATAATACATGATAATGAACGTTTATAGTAATAACTGATACTATTCAATTATATAACTTCTGTCATGTTCTATTGTCCAATATTTATTTTGTAGCAAACTTTCGGTGTTATGTTATTTCCACGTCATAACATCTTGAAAAGATTAATTTATTTTAAAGGTCAAGTACGATTTCACAACTAGTGAGGCTCGTGAAGCATTACCGTGTTAAACTAACAAAACCTTTATGAATAATATTATGTCAGAAATTTGACTGACTGAGGCTCTAAATCGAAAGTATTTGAACTCATGTTTTGAATTTATTAATGTTATAAATTTGGATGGAAATATATTTAGTGCGTATTGTTATATCGTGCAATACAGTAAATAAGAGGAAATAAGAAAAAGGATTGAATTGGGAATTTATATGGACTACAACTCATTACTTTCAAAATTTTATATTTTGATTGTTTTCTATTGCAGGTATGATGTATTCTTTTTTTATTCACAGACTTGCGAGAATGCTTCTCTTATTATTTTTTTTAAATTTAATATCAGTTGTTTCTAGTAATGTAACGAATATTCGGTTACTATTCGGTATTCGGCCTATTCGGCCTATTTTTCACTATTCGGCCGAATACAGAATATTTAATCACTATTCGGCCGAATACCGAATACCTAAAATCCAAAAATCCCGGTTTTCCCGAAATTACAAGTATCAAGAAGAAAAAATAAATTGCAATTTTCGAATTTAGATTGTGTTGTAAAGATTTAAGTAAATGTTTTGTTTTAATAATTTCGACTTTTGACTTTATCACTTTAATTCTTATTTATTTGTTTGCCTTGAAAGTAAAAGAACGGATTTTCTAAAACAAAACTGCTGAAAAAACTTTTCTTTTAATTGAAATTAAAAGCCATAAAAATGTATTTAAAAAATCAATAAAAAAAACACATTTTTCACTATTTAATTTTACTTTCTTATCATCTTACTTTTGTAATGCCTAAATAGGGGACTGTTACCTTATAAACATTATCTGATTAAATTTATATTTAAAGCAACAAAGAGATTTAAATTAGTTAAAACATACATTTACTTTTATTTCTATGAACAATTATATTTATCAATAGCAATTCATTAATGTACGAGTATTTTTTTTTAAATGTGTTTGAGAAAATGAAAGTATCTATCTCTCTATTTCCTTAATTATATTAATAAAATATATTGTAATAACCTAGATATTGATGAAATTATGTAAAATTAAAAATATATATATATATATATAAAAATA